AAAGGTGTATTTCTGAAAAGGTTTTCAGAAGCTGCAGTAACAGTTTCCCATCCCCACGTTGCTGTTGTTACTGACGTAAGAATACAGAGCCCTGTGGGGGATTGGGTGCGAAATGAATACATCTCCTAGTTATGGGGCAGTGCAGCTGTAGACCAAGCTGTATCAGTTTGGGAAGGGAGAGAAAACAGTAGCTGGTATCCATGGCAACTTCTCCAGGTGAGTGGTTCTGGAGAGGTGTGCAAGACTTGATGGCCAGCCACAGAAATTTTGCAAATTATGATATCTGGTGTGTCCTTTTCGCTCTCTTTATTTGCTGTTAGCATCTGGTAGAAGTTAATGAAAGTTTCTCAGTCAGTTAGGCATTAAGTGAGCAAACCGCGAACCACCACAGTAATGCCTGGAGTCTGAAATGTGTGTTTTGTTCTTTTCACATAAAGTTGGCACTTCTGTTGCCCCATCCAGAAGGTAGAGGCTTTAGTTTCTTCCCCTAGTTTGTGATGGATTTGCATAATCTCTCTGCACTTTAATTGATTGTCACCCATTGTTAGTAGCAGCAGACCATCTTTAGATGGATGGTTGGCCAGAGGTCGTGGTAGTTTGTGCCATGGGTGGAGCCAGATGAAGCTAACAGACCCACATCCTCTGTTAGTCCTGTGTGTTAACTAACAGCATTACCTAACCAGAGAGCTTGGCATCCATCTGAAAGCTAGGCCTTCAGGGACCTTGCAATTTAGTAAAAGGTATGTTAACCAATGTGTGAATACCAGAGATATTAGTCACATTCCATTACCACAAATACCAAAATACTAGTACAACAAACAGGATTTCTAAGTGTCAGTTGTTGACTCAGGTATTTTAAGCCATACTTCACAGCACAAAGTTCTGGTATAGTATAAAGTGGATCCATTCCTCCTGGGAATTTATTTTAATTGGGATTTAATCTGTAAGCATATTTCAGTTCCACTAATCAACACTGTGTATAGACTTTTTAAATTTGGGAATTATATGGCCACTTGAACATCCCTGTTGACATTCACATACCTTGGTGTTCAGTGGACCTGCTTGCACTGCTGCTGCTTCTCTTTCGGTTAGAAATGGAAACCTGGTTTAAGTTTTGACAAAACAAAAGTCATGGAGCAAAGCGTGTCCTCTGTTTCCCTTACGGACTATCGAAGTAATACTTCTTAAAATCAGGTGCTGCCATTGTTTGCATTATCTGCTTATCAGTGTTTCTGCTCTTCTTTTCCTCTGACAGTAGGTCAGATAAGAAGAGTTTTCAGTTGTCAGTAATGGTTATACGGAGGACAGCCCCATGGTCTTCAGAGTTTTACCCTGTACCTGCCAAACCTGCAGTAAATACTGACATACGAAATACAGACTTCATCCCCAGAGGCTATTCAGAAAACTTATTGTCATATAATTGTTCCTTGACACATGAAACCTGCTAGTCATAGCTACTTTAGTAGGTCACTCGCTACAAGCTGGAATCAGCGGCAACGGTTTGGTTTTGGTTTTCTGATTGCATAGGGAATCAGCTTGTGTTTAATCACTTAAGTGACTTGTTCTGCCTTCATCTGAGAGCTAGCACGTGAAGCGTTTAGATTCTTGCTTTAGCCCTAGGAATAGTCTCTCTTTGGGGAGGCAAGGCTGGAGAGGGGTAGGACTAGGAAGCTTGGGGGTGGGATTCATAGGGCCAAAAGAAAATCTTTTCATGGAGGATAGTAAGATAATATTTGAACTAATTTCTCAGTTTTTCATCTAAACTACCTTGTATTTTAGTATACCTCCTTGCTTCGTGCTAGAAGGTCTTTGACTTTTTAAGAAAGGAGGGCAGGGCAGCCTGAATGGATGGGGAGATGGAAGAAGCTAGACCTGGGATGGGAGCGACAGTCAATTAAAGAACAAGTGCTTCACTTTCGCAAGATTCTGTACCGTGGTCCAGAGCAAGCCCCCGCTTAATGTGATATCAGTGCAATGTCAGAATGACAAGTTCCCAGTCGCTGTTTGGCTGTTGGTTATCCAGAACTTTCTCTGCTCCTAGATACTTGTTTAATTTCCTCTCTACTTGCATGTCGTTTAGAAGAGTGGTAATAGATGAATGGGGTGGGGGCGGTTCATTCAGAATCGTCCTATTTGAGTCTTTATTTACGTCAGGAAAAGACCTGGGTGAGGCTGGGAGGCCAGCTGTTGGCTGAGGTGGAGTTTGAGGATTGGCAGTAGATAGAGATTACTCAGGCCCTCTGCGCCCGCCAGCAGTGGGAATGGACTGTGTTGTGGACCGAGGGGGTGTTCACATTCACTCATCTCCCTGTGGGGGTAGGTTCGAGGAACCGCTGGCCAACTTGCTAAATGAGCAACATCGGACAGTAAAGGAGCTACTGGAACAGCTGAAGATGAAGAAATCCTCATCCAGACAGCAGCAGGAGGTGGAGAGGGTTAAGCCCAAGAGCGAAAAAATGCCCCAGACTCTGGTTCTCGATCTTGCCCAGAGGAAGAGACTCCAACAACAGATGCAGCAGGTGAGACTCTCCTGGGTCGGGTTAGTGTTGGATCGCCCCATGGCCTGATTCCGGAAATAGCAATATCGTACGTAACGTGTCACTGTATTGTTTTCTCTCCCTCCCCAGCATGTTCAGCTCTTGACGCAGATCCACCTTCTCGCCAGCTCCAACCCCAGTCTGAGTTCGGAGGCCAGCACCACCAGAATATTTCTTGTAAGGCTCTAAATATCCCTAACTCTGAAGACTTGGGCATGAAATTAGGTTGGCAAGTCATTTCTCATAGTGACCTATCATAATCTACATTTATTCTTCTCTCTTGAACGTGTTTGGTAGCTGTGGTACTTTCTGCTGTGGCTTCCTGTGTTTGCTGAGAGAGCCTCTGCCATTTATTCCCGTGAAAAGGCAGCGAATGTATTCAGCTTTCTTAAGTCTGTCCCTCTCCCTTTTTTATTGGATTCTCAGCCTCATCTTTAGATCCGCCCTGACTTCTTAGGTTTTTGGTACTGCTATTCTTTTTATAAATACTGAATTTGTTGTTCATTCATTAGGCTCAGTGCCAGTGTTTTGTGTATGGAATTAATTTTGCTCATGACATTATAAATATTTTGGAGTAAGAGTTTTTAATTCTGAGATTTTAAACTCTATAAAAGTTACCCCTGACCTTTGTGGCAAATAATGACTATTCTGTGCTTCTTAGGTAAGTCTGTTTGGGGTTTGAATAGTATGTTTGCTAATGCTTCGAGATTCCTTGGTGGTCAACAGTGTATATTCACCTCCTGTTGTGTTCAGAAGATTGTGAAGTGTACTTTGTTCTAGGTGATATTAGAGAAACCGGATAAGCAAAAAAGTAAAAAAATAAAAAAAAGTAATGGCTTTATTCTTGAGAACCTTGGGTCTAGCTGAGAAGTTGGACCATACGTCCTAAAGGCTGAGGAACATTCAGTCTAAGAATAAAACAAGGATGAAGATAAAAGAGGAGCAAGGAATCCTGACGGGAAGGAGAAAATGCAGAACAGAATTTCAAGTTCTCATGGAATCCAGATTTTCTGGGGCCATGGAGGCTAGATGATCTCCTGAAACTATTGCCCTGAGATAATTTTTGAACCTTAAATCTTGAACCAAAAAGATCTTCTGATGTCTTAAAACCAAACAGTAGTTTAGCTTAACTAGTAAAAAAAAGTCTACCTTGAGCATTCTGCTATTTTAAGAACTATATGAGATCAAACTAACAACAGCAGCTCACAGGATTAGACAGGAATCTTGAGGGGCGGTGAGTTTATGTTAACGCAGGAGGAACAGATCAGAAAAGGAGGGTGAGAATGGTTGCACAACCTGAAGAATGCTATCAATGTCAGTGCATTGTACACGTGGGAATTGCTGAATTGGTGTATGTTCTGTGCATATTCTTAACAAAACAATACATATGAAAGGATGACTGTATCACAAACATAATTCCTGAGTATCTGAGGACTCACCAAAAAGCAGTCTTAATTGTTAATTGTGAACAACTCTGATGCTTTTTACCTGTTTTTATGCAGTAGTAGGAAAGACAGTTTCCCACTCAGAAGCTAAGGGTTACTAGTATTATTAATTCTGTCTTTTTTGTCCTGTTTTTCCCCAGAAAGAGCTGGGAACCTTTGCTCAAAGCTCCATCGCCCTTCACCATCCATTCAACCCCAAGTTTCAGACCTTGTTCCAGCCCTGTAACCTGACGGGAGCCATGCAGCTCATTGAAGACTTCAGCACACACGTCAGCGTTGACTGGAGTCCTCGTAAAACTGTCAAGAAGCCTGGTAGGGAACAGATGTGTCAACTTCCGGTGTTTATTTGCAGTGAGAGGTGGGAGTCTTATCTCAGAGATCATTTTCTAGGGATGCAGGAGCCAGGATATTTGCAGTTTGGTCCTTATGTTATTTATCTTCCCTTTTGACTCATTGTCTGAGTTCTAGAATTACATGACAATATTTGGACTTAGGTAAGGGTGAAGGTAGTGGACAGGACAGGTGTGTGGTTGTAGAGATGTGGGTCTCCACATGAAGACATGGATAGATAAGTACGCGGGTGTTAGGATTGAGATCAAGACAGACTGGGGTGTCGTAAAGAGGGAAGTCAGATGGTAAAGTTTGGCTCGTTTCGGTTTATACTCTCTTTAGTAAGATCAACTCACATTATTTTCCATGACTGTAGGGTAGGTGGTATCTCCATTTTGAAAGAAACATGGATTTGGGAGTTAGGCACAAATTAGAGGTGTTGTACTTTTGTAAGGTTCAGTGTTTTAAAGAGCTTTTCAGGTTTGGTTTCTATCTCATATTGGTTTTGTATTTTTTGAGACAATATTTTATTGAATTTATTTCCTGTTCCCTTAAACCAGATATTTGCTTTTGTTTCCTGGTTTAGCAAAATTATTTGTGGTTTGTTGTGTATCTGTAATGGCTACGTATTTGGATTTATCTTTGAATTTAATCGTAAATCTCTGACTCTGGTTGCACAGTGGTTAAGTGCTTGGCTGCTATCCGAAAGGTTGATGGATTGAAGCCATCAGCCTTTCTGCAGGAGAAAGATGTGGCAGTCTGCTTCAGCAAAAATTACAGCCTTGGAAGCCCTGTGGGGCAATTCTGCTCTGTCCTGTATGGTCACTATGAGTAGGAGTTGACTTGATGGTAATAGGTTTGGTTTGGTTTTTCACTCTGTTATAGTTAAATTTAAGTGCATTCTGTCATAGAAGCTGATCTCAAATTACTTTCATAGCTTCATTTTGATAATGAAAACTTTATTTAACACAAAGCTTAGTGACGGCTTCGATTTCTAGTGTCTTTTGTTTTTCTTCTGAGGTAATGAAGGGATTAATATGGATGCAGTAGTGCTGGTCTCTGGACAGGCAGAGGTGCCTGGAAATGAGAGACTTAGGAAGAGAGACAGAAACTAATGAGACTGAACTGCATTCCTTTTATGGGTTTTTTTTTTATTCCCAGCATCAGGAGGAATCTGGGAGAGTTTATTGAAAGTAAGAATCACATAAAATAAAATTTGGAATACCAGATACGTGAGGGGGATTAAAGACGTTGGAATCTAAGCCTGGAAGACGGCAAGCATTGTTGGTCACTTACCCTTCAAGGACTTCAAGGGGGAAGGACATAGAAGGTTTTGAGCATACACTGTGTGTCCGGTATTGCTAGGTGCTTTATAAGTGTTCGTGGTACTTAACGTGTTAAGTGCTCCACACAGGAGAGAATAAGAGAATCACCTTTATTGTCGTCGAGTGAGACTCTCTTTTGGGATATGTTAGGACGAGAAAGACTGTGGCAGCTTTTTTGGGGAGGAGTGGTGGGAAGGAACCGAGTTAGGTAAGGGCAGCTCTGCCTAAACGCAGAATGGATTCAGCAGCCTTAATGAGGCCCCCTTTTGTTCTAGATTTCCATTTATTACGGATTTTTTTCTTCCAGCCTATGAATTTCCCTGTTTGCCAAAGCAAGTGGCTTGGATCCTGGCGACAAGCAAGGTATTCATGTATCCAGAGCTACTTCCATTATGTTCTCTGCAGGCAAAGGATCCCGAGGATAAGAGCTTCTTCACCAAGGCTGAGGACAAGTAGGTGTTTACGGTGGGGGGACAAAGAGCACAATGTCCCAAGGAGAAGACATAGTTCTTTTTGAGGAGATTAGGGGAAATACAGCTTGTGTAGTAAGACATGGACTCAAAAGACAAAAGGAAGAACGCTACAGATGGACAGAGTTTTTCAGTGGGTGTATGTGTTCTAGCAGCGCCAAATACTGCTCTTTTTGGGGATGGCACACATTTTTGAAACATTTGAACACATTTTAAATTGTTTTCTGTGTTTTATTTAGTGTAAAACCAATCTTATCATACTGTTGAAGAAAAATTTCAAAGGAAAAATTTTTTCACCCGTTATCCTACCATCTCAAGACAGTCTTTATCTCTGTGCATTTTTTACTTAATTAATGTCAATTTAAGTATAATTTTGTGTGTGTGTTTTTTTTAAACCTAATATCTTACTGAAATAGTTTTATAACATTATCCCTGATTTGTCTATACCGTCTTTTAAAGCAATATTTAATGGCCTAATGATGCTCCTTTTATTGACCATTGTTTTTTTCTTTGTTTTGCTCTTGTAAGCGATGCTTCACCAAGGATCTTGGTGCACAGAGCTTTTTAAAAAATCTTTTACTTTTGTCCTTTAGCAATTATTCAATAAAGGTTATGAGCTATTTTTTTTAAATTAAGCTCATTTAAAAATCTTTTTATTGTGGTGATATATATAACAAAAGTTTGCCATTTTAACCAGTTTAACTGTACAATTCAATTGAATTAATTACACTTGCCATGTTGCTTTACCATCGCCACTATCCATTTCCAAAAGTTTTATATCACCTCAAACACAAGCTCAGTACCCTTCCTCCTCCTCCTCCCAGCCCCTGGTAAGCATGAATAAACTTTTGTCTCTATGCATTTGCCTATTCTAGATATTTCATGTAAGTGGAATCTTACATTTGTGCTTATGTGTGACTTATTTTACTCAACATAATGGTTTAAAGGTTCATCCCTGTCGAGCTTGTGTTAGAATTTCATTTCTCCTTATAGCTAAATAATAGTCCATTTTGTAGATATTTCAGATGGCTCAGTGGTTAAGGGCTCTACGGCTGCTACACAAAAGGTCAGCAGTTTGAAACCACCAGCTGCCGCTTGGAAACCCTTTGGGGCAGTTCTACTCTGTCCTGTAGGGTTGCTATGAGTCTGAATTGACTTGATGGCAACGAGTTGTTTGTTTTCTGTTATCTTTTGTTGAATACTTGGGTTGTTTCCATCTTTTGGCTATAGTGAATAATGCTGCAGTGAACATTGATATACATGTCTCTGTTTGAGTCCCTGCTTTCAAGTCTCTTGAGTATATACCTAGGAGCGGAAATGCTGGGTCATATGGTAGCTGCACGTTTAACTTTTTGAGGATAGCGGCTGCACCATTGTCCATTCCCACCAACAATGCATGAGGGTTCCAGTCTTGCCACGTCTTTGTCTACCCTTTTTATTTTTCTGCTTTTCTGATAATAGCCATCCTAGTGGGAGTGTGAACATTTTTATGGCTCTTTATACATATTCACACGCTGCCGTCAGCAAATACGTGCATTTGTAACCACAGTTGAATATGTTATGTTGGGGTTGTGGTGCTGCTGCTCATTTAGGATGTCTGACATGGTTCCTGTTACTCAGTTTGTATTTGTTTTATTAGAATTATTCTCCTTCTTTTGTATACCCTTTGACATAGTAGTTTGAATTGCTAGTTTAAAGCAAATCATGAGCTGATCTTTATTAGTGATTGATGTCTATTGTTTGCTCTCCCTACTTGATTTTCAAATCCTGATTCAGACTTAGTCATATTTGTAACCCACACAGTACTTACTTGCACATAGTAGATACTTAAAAACTGTCTGAAATTTTCTTTTGAATAGCCATCAACTTACATAAGAGTTAGATGTAGAAAAAGCAGAGTATAAAAATTTATGTAGTTACCTGGGGAGGCGTTTTAGAGGACAGGGCTGTGGTGTGGGATTGAGTGTCATTGCTCCTTTCTCAGTTTGTTAGCTTTGGGACTGAAGCACTTCGAATGTACTGAGTTTCCGAAGCCTCTAATCAGCAAGTACCTTCTAACCTGCAAGACTGTCCACCAGCTGACGGTGAGAATCAAGAACCTGAACTTGAGCAGAGCTCCTGACAACATCGTGAAAGTGAGTGCTTTCTGCATGCTCCACCGGGAGACCGAGCTGTTGGCACCATCCTTTCTGTCTCTGTGTTAGTGAACAGGGGACCTTCTGTTATCCAAGGCTAATCCTCTCACCTGTGTACTTGCCGCTTCACGGCCATTGATTCATTACTTCCCTCTGGAGTGTCTTCACCCTGTCCCTTCTTTACGGATATTTCCCCTAAATATAAAATTGTTGAAGTCTGGCCTAACTTAACTAAAGTATTTCTTGATTATCCTTTAGACATGTATTGTGTTTCTTTTACTGTAACCTCCTTGAAGGAGTACACAATATTCCATTTATACCCTTCTCCTTAACTCTTCTTTTTTTTAAGTTCAGATATTTATATAACAGTTATACAGTTTATACATGATTTGAAGAGTCATCCATATGAGGCTTGTTATCAAAACTATTTTTCTCCCCGTTTTCTGCTAACTGGGATTTTTTTTGGGGGGGAGTATTCATTTCCTTTTTTATGTAAATAACATGCTTATAATTGCTACTTGATGTTTTGGATGTAGGCCCTGTCTGGTAACCTTAAACCATGGGAGGGGAGGGTTTAGTTCTTTTTTATGTGTATTTTTTGTTCTCCGATCTTCCCTCTATAATTGTATCACAATTTTGGTTAGATTGTATTAAATTTTATATTATAAACATTATAAGGACTATGTAACTGCTCTTTACTGCTCAGCCATGTTACTTTGCCTTTCTTGCTGAACATTCTGTTTCTCCTGGCCTTAATAATTGCCTTTTTTTTGATGAGGGGTCTGGGGGTTGATTTTATTTTGTAAGTATCAGTAGTTCAACAGGAGTTTACTTCAGTTTTGTAAATGTCCTTTCAGTGTGTTCAAACCTTTAAGGTGTTGTATCATTTTCATCCCCCTGATGAAATCTCTCCCTGAGCCATGTGATGTGTACCAACCTAAACGCCTTCTCTCAGCTTGCTCCACTGACGGCGTCTTGGGTATTCTCTTCACCATCATCCTGGGGATCCTTTTACCCCTTACTCATGTTAGATCCCGTTGTTTCCTGGATCCCACGTCTTCTTTCGTTGGTTTACTTCCTTGTCTCACTGAAGCACATCCTAGTAGCATTCTAAGAGTACTTGAGAAGCAAAGGTTTTCATTTAAACTGTATTTGCCTCTGTTCGTAGTCAGTGGAGTGTAGCAACGTCAATTTCGTGGTTTTTTTATATACTGTAGTTCGTGAGAGATGACCATTGGAGGAAAGTGGGTGAAGGGTACCTGGGACCCCTCTGTACTATTTTTGTTGCAACTTCCTGTTAATTTATAGTTATTAAAAAAAAAAAAAAAGAAAAAAGTCTCCATTCTGTTGCACTCTAACCCTTCACTGGATCTAGAATTCCAGATTGGAAAGAATTTTTCTCAGAATTTTGTCTCCAGTGTTTTAAAATTTCGTGGTAATATATCTTAGTATAGGTCTAGTTTCATCCGTTGTGCTAGGCATTTGATAAACCTTTTTGTCTGGAAATTCATGTGTTCCAGTTTTGGGAAATTTTCTTGAATTATGTCTTCATGCTCTCCCTCCCCCCTCCTTCATTTGGTTTGTTCTTTCTACGGCGTCCAGGAGTCAGATGTTTGACCTCCTAGGCTCGTCTTCTGTTCTTTTCTTCTCTATCGCTTTATCTTTTGTTGTACTTTCTGGGATATTACCTCAGTTTTTTCTTCTAACTCTTCAGATGAGTTGAGTTTTTTATTTCTTCTATCATTTATTTTTTATACCCAATAATAGTTTTTGGTTTGTTGAGTATTCTTTTAAGGCAAATGGCAGGGCATGAGGGGAAGTAGAGAGGAAGAAGACTTGAGTTTTCTGTTTCATCAGCATTGTTCCCCCTGTCAGCTACTCCTGATGGCCTCACCCAGAGACCATCCTTTCCAGCAGACAAGCCCTTGGCTTCTACTAGAGTGGGAGACGGGGCTCTCACCTGACTAGACCAAATAACAGAGGGCGTTTGGGGCTCTAACTGCCTCTTCAACAGATTTTCAGTCTGCCCACCTCATCTTTACTTTTTTAATTCCACTTTTACGTGTTTTTAATTCCATCTTTACCCGTATTTGTCAAAGTATCTGGTGTCTTAGCCCATTGCTGGTTCTGTGATACAAATTTAGTTAGCACTGAAGTTTCACCACTTGGAATTCAGTTTTCTGTATTCTCATCCATCTCCTTTTCAGCTTCCATAATTTTGTTGCTTTCGTCTTTTCTCACATTCTCTTTGTCCTTGTGGGTTTTTGCCTCTTACAAGTTTTCTTTCAGTTGTTTGCATGGAGTTTTAGGAGGGAACAAAACCAACTGGTACATGTTTAATCTGCCTGCTTTACAATAGGTTTCTCCTAAACTCTTCACCCTTTGGAAGTGTGCTTATTACCCCTACAAAGATCTCTAATGACTTTCCAGTTGCTACATCTAATGGGTACTTTTCTATTCTTATCCTGTTTAACTTTGCGATTGATGCCATAGTTTACTCAGTTCCTTTTTCAGACTCTCTGTTCTCTTGGCTTCTGTGATACCAGCAGTCCTACCTCAGACTGCTCCTTAGTGAACTCTTCTTCCTCTGCGCTATGCTTAAATGTCTGTTCTACAGTGAGGTCTTGGTGTGTGGTGTCACCTGTCTCCTGATGATCCCGAATCTGTGTCTTCAGTACTGATTTCTCTCCTGAGCTTCAGCGTAGTTTATCCCAGTATTTAAAGGAATTCTCAGCTTGGTTGCCTCACTGACTCCTCATACTCCGGTTTCCCTCACGCTGAGGTCACGGCTCCCTCTGCACCCTGTAGTTGTTCCCACGGCCACCACCACCACAGCAAACACTCCCTTCCCCAGCGTAACCCGTCTGTGACTTCCGCCTCTGTGTGTGGCGTTACCGTCTAGCCGGTATCTCAGTCCAGAAACCCGGCCGTTACCCTCAGTTCTCCTGGGTGATCACCAGCGTATGTCGGTAGTCACCGAGGCCTCAGTTTTCCTACTCTGTTGTCAGTTGCCTTACTTCGGGCCTTTTCAGAACTGGATTAAGCCCCTCGTTTTCTAACTGGTGTCTCCAATTCTGGTCTCGTTTATCCTGTCCTTCTCATTCCTGCCACAGCCACCTTTGTCATATCCTCAGGATACAGTTCAGACTGCTTGGTGTGGCACAGCCTACCTCTGGCTCTGGCTCTTCAAGTCTCCTCGCGTTCATTTAGTTCTAGCTAAAGCGGCCTCTCTGTGGTTCCTGAAGCACGTCCATGATGTTGCACATGCAGTGTGCCCTGCCCTCCCTGCCTCATGTAGGAAACTCTCATCCACTGCGATTCACTTCTGGGTGCACCTGCACCAGAAGAGTATTTGTTTGTCCAAGTTTGAGTTGGGCGCCATCTATTCGTGCATGTTTGCCTGTACTTTTTATGCAGGATGACATTACTGGTCTACCTGACTGTTCCTCCCAGTCGTCTGTAAGCTCCTTAAGAGGCGGGAGTGCTTCTCACGTCTGTACGCTCAGCTTGTAGCCCAGTGCCCGGCACGTAGAAGGCGGTCAGCAGATGTTGACCGAATAGATGCTCCCTGTCAGGGTTTTCAGTTCAGGTCCCCTCTTCATTCACATTTAACACTGAGCTGTCTCAGACTCCGCTGTTACTTCCCTCCCTTCTCATGCCCTTCACACCACCATTTGCTTCCGTGTGCCCAGGATGAGGGCTGAGGCACTATTACTGCCGCTGCTGGGCAGGAGCACGTCTTCTGTAAGATTACTCTGTTTGCGTCCTCTTCTCTGTGACCTAAACTTCCTCTTTCCTGGTGACCAGAATAGAGATGGAAGATAGTGAGTAATTGTAAAATCTTTATTGATTAGAGATTAGATTAATTTCAAATGCAAGAGTATTCAGCATGTGTGGTGCACGTATTGTGTGTGTGTGTGTGTGTGTGTGTGTGTGTGTGTGTGTGTGTGTGTATGTTACATATGTACGTGTAAAAATGTCTCAAAGCACTGCCTGCCCCCTCCCCTGTCTGACAGAGGGCAATGTTTTTGGAAGGAACGTAACTTACGCTTTATTTCTTCATGCTCAGTTGTATAAGAAGACCAAACAGCTGCCCGTCTTGGTGAAGTGCTGTGAAGAAGTCCAGCCACATCAGTGGAAGCCGCCTGTAGAGAGGGAAGAACACCGACTCCCTTTCTGGTTAAAGGTATGACCTTTAACCCCCCTCAGTGTCTGTAGGAGGCAGAAGGTTACGGAAAACCCCGGTAGAAACATCAACGGCTATCTTAAGCCTCTAATGGTTTAGTTGCAGAACTAGGACTAAGAAGTCTTCCTCGCTGACCATCCCTCCCCTGTGTTTCTTCCCCCCACCCAGGGGATTCTACAGCCTTTTTAAAATACTGGGTAAAATGATAGTTTCCTAAAGGAAAATCAGAGAAAAATATCTAGAGCATATAATTGGCATGTAGTCCTAGTAGAAATTTGATATTGTGCTGAAAAGTCCTTCTTGAAAAGATGTCTTGAACTGACCTGACATAGACTGGAGAAACCTCAAGAGTATGGCCCCCGGACACCGTTCTAGCTCAGTACTGAAGTCACTCCTGAGGTTCGGCCTTCAGCCAAAGATTAGACAGGCCCATAAAACAAAATGAGACTGAATGGGTACATCAGCTCAGGGGCAAGGACTAGAACACAGGAGGGGACAGGAAAACTGGGAATGGGGAATCTAAGGTTGAGAAGGGAGAGTGTTGACATGTTGTGGTGTTGGTAACCAATGTCAGAAAACAATGTGTGTACTGTTTAATGAGAAGCTAGTTTGTTCTGTAAATATTCGTCTAAAGTACAATTAAAAAAAAAAAAGCCAGACTGTCACTGAGAAAGAGGTAGAAAAAAAAGAAAAGATGTCTTGAGACTGTCTTGGGAAGATTTCTAAAGTCTGGAGAGTCCTATTCTTTTTCCCCAATTCTGACATGTGATGGATTAGAGTGTTCTTGTTCCCAACAGGCCAGTTTGCCATCCATCCAGAAGGAAATGCGGCACCTGGCTGATGGTGCTGGCGAGGCAGGAAGTGTGACCGGAGCTCCTGAGACCAGCTCTGACCCAGGCCTGAACAAAGGCAGCTCAGAACTGGGGAGTGAAGCTCAGTACCCACTGCTGTTGCCGAAGGGTGTAGTCCTGAAACTGAAGCCAGGTGCCAAGCGTTTTTCCAGGAAAGCTTGGAGACAGAAGCGGTCATCGGGCCTGAAGCCCCTTCTGATCCGACCCAGCCCCTCACTCCAGCCTAGCTTCAACTCTGGGGAAACACCAGCCAGATCAACTCAGTCAGAAACCCCTCCGAGCAAAATGGTGGGTCAGATTCCTCACCCAATCCAGACGGTGCCAGGTGTCCCTCCACTGGAAGTCACAGGGGGTCATGGTTTTGAGTCTTTGGCACTGCCTGAGGCCAGGACCAGCTTCCCTCTCTCCTCTGCCCCTGTGCCCAAGGTAATGCTGCCCTCAC